AAAACTACAAATGTCAGGGACCAAAAATGAACTTTATCTCGATATATTTTTAATTTTTTTTAGTTTACTTTCTAAAATCATAATTTGTTAAAGGTACCTTGAAAAGGGACATAAGTAGGTTTGATATGAGTAGAAGGGTACTCGCGCAATGCAGCAAGATATATCTTGATTTTATTATTTCATTTTATTCTTTATTTTAGTCGATGTTATAATATGATTTTATGTGATTTTGAAAAAAAACGATAATGTTTTTATTTTTGAATAAGATATAAATTTGAAGATATTATAAAGATTGATAAAAATATATCGATATTAGTATTAAATTAACTTTTTAAAATTCCTATTTTTGTGTAATTTTTTAATTCAATTTTTTTTATTATAATTTTAATTTAGGTTCAATAACGAACTAATTTATATTTGATTTAATAATATAATTTTTTATAAAGATAATAATTAATTATTTTGTTAGATATCGATAATTATCTTAATTACATTTTAGATTTTTTATATTTTAAAATGAGATGTTTATCCGCAGTTAGTAACACGAATTCAAATATGGAGCTTTAATAAGTTGTATTTATGCATAATTTACTTGTAATATTAAATTTTAAGTAATATGCATCAATATACAGTACTTCATGCATAAAAAATTGTTTTTAAATTTTTTTGTTAAATGTTTTATAATATAATATAAATAACAAGCAAACGAATCATGCTCGTTTCGGATTCTACTTCTAAAAATACGAGGGATCAGTCTAAAATTTAGAACAGACTACCAAACTAAACGTCCAAGATTGATGTTCAGTATAAATTTGATCTGGTCAAGCCTATCAATCAAGCTGGATGCATATCATATATGAATTAAAAGATAAGAACACAAGATATTTTGAGCCAAATATGGCTGACATCATACATTAGTTGCCATGATACCTTTCACTATCGGTGGCAATAGAATAAGTAGCATCACACCCTTTTCAAGACAAAAAATTTATTCATAAAATGACAAACTCATTAACATGTAAACCGACAGATATACTGTCTATAGTCAGTTACCTCGTTACACTGCTCTAGTACCGGATCACCTAGTTGACTTATTGACTGACATGAGCGTCTCTTGTGGTCGATTACCTCATCATACTACTTGGATCACTCCCTTGCTATCGTAATCAATCCAAATACTATTAGGAGCCGTTTAGTTCGCAGAATTCGAAGGAATTTGATGGAATTGGAATGACAAATTCCTTTGACCAAATTCCAATTCATTTGTTTGGTTCATTTCTTGAAATGGATGGAATCCTTCAAATTCCATTGAATTCCACAAGTTAATGAATTCATCATTCCTTAGCATAATGGAAGAAATTGAATTCCATCACCACCCACCACGATCAAACTACTATTGTTCATGATGCCCCCACCCTTAACCCCCACCACCACTGATGTCGCTGCTACCCACCCTACCCCACCCTACCCCACCCTAACCACTATGCCACTACTGTTGTCATCACACCCACCCACCCTCCGGTCACTCACTACACATCCTTACTACGACTATGCTACTAACGTTACTGTGTCACCCCTAACCTAACCCCCACCACCACAACATTATTGTCGTCGTCACAACTGCCACTCACCCTATCGCACCCTACCCTAACCACCACTAGCCACTATGTCACTACTGTCGTCATCATACCCACCCACTCCCAATCACCCTGACCATCATCCCACCACTATCATCATCATAGTTGTCACTGATCCCCACCTCCTCGTCCATGCGGCCCTTAACCTAACCCTTCACCCCCACACTACTATTGTCGCCTTCACAACCGCCATTCACCCACACCCCACCCTACCCAACCCACCATTAAACACCATGCCACTATTATTGTCGTCATACCCACCAACTCCCTGGCCCCAGTCACCCGACTACTATCCCACCACTAGCATCATCACAGCTACTACCCCGCCACCTACCCCTACCCCTACCCACCCCACCGTTCTGCTTTGCCCCCACCCTACCTTACCCTACTCTAACCCATCACTAACCACCATCCTACTACTGTAGTCATCACAACTATCACACTGCCACCTATTGCCCCACTCTGGCTTCACCCCCACTGCCTCGCCCCACCCCTGCCTGCCCGCAACAATCCCCACCTATGGAGCACGATAGAGCAGAAGTGGTGGGGGCAGGGCGGGTGATAGTTGTGACGACAATATCAGTGACATGGTGGCTGGTAGGGTGTGGACGGAGCGATGGATGGGATAGTCCATACAAAGATGATTGTTCTAATTCTATTGAGATATTTCATTCCAATTCCTACCAACCAAACGCATGGTCAAATTCCATCAAATTCCATTCTAATTCCTTCAAAGTCAAATTCCTTTGATGGATTCCAATTCCATCAAATTCCATTCTATGAACCAAACACCCCCTTAGATTTTACTGGTAACTTCTTATTCATTAGTAGGTCTCTGATATGGTAGTTGAAAAAGCTAACAAGCTAACTGATAAATTAATTATGCTGATAAAAACTAATTCATAAAACTAGATGACATATTTTGTTGTGTAAAAACAGTCCCCTAGTTTATGAAAATACAGTATAAAGTTATTTTGTAAAAAAATATTAAGAGTCAGATTTAAGGACCGTTTACCAATACTATCTGGGTAAGAGTCACTCCTTCAGTTATCTTACTGATAGTAAGTCTAATTCTTGAATAATGTGGCATGACTTGGACTGAGAATTTTATCCGGTAAGTGAGAGTGGTGATTTTTACCCGGTTGGCACTTACAAGATAATGAACACTTACCAACGATCTTACAATGGTATTTTAATGACCAAAAATCTTATCTGGTAAGGTAAATGGGATGACGACTCTTATCTAATTGATGGTAATAGAGTCAGATTCAAACGAGAATAATGACTAAATAAGAAAACACAACAAGACAATATCAAATATGATTTTACACTAAGTTCATGTGTATAATCCAAGGTTCTAAATGGCGTGAGATGTAGCGTGGTGACAAGGCCAAACCTCAAGTCTTAGGAACCATTTGTCCTCGCCACAACGTTTTTCAAGACATGACTTATGACAACAAATCTCTATATATGTTCTCTACTTTTATTCAATAAGTCAATGATAAACATGTTAAATTAAGTCATATATTAAAACTAACAAATAAAACAGTTAGAGTATTTTCAACAGGTTTTATATAATTTCTTTAAAATAGAGAATCAAAAGTTGAAATCTCTTAACATAATTTTTTTTGATTAACTTGGATATTCAACCCGCTATACGAGCTGACTAACACAGTGCGACTACCTGCTTTGCTGCATCCCAAAGTCACCGCATTTGAAACTCCGTGGCCACAAAGCTTGAGCCACGATGCGCCATGACTGCCTTTTAAAACAATGGTATAATCATATGCGATCTAGATCGCATGTCAAGTCGCTGGCACACGAACCGTGTTCCTAAATCAAATGTAATATACAGTTCTTGTTTCTCCTATTTTGACACTGTTATCGTTTGAAGCATACAGATAGCGAGTTTTTTTTTAAATAGTTGGAATGTGGAATGAATGGGAGTTTGAAATTTGAGGTCCATTGGTGATGGATTCTAAACATTAAGAAAAGGCCTCATCATCAACCTCAAGACCTACAAGTGAGCTACCTTCTTTCTGTATAATAGTGGCCAGCAACAAATGCGATTTCACAGATTTAGATAGATTTCGACCCACAAAAGTCCACATACTTTTTGCCATCATTATGTCTCTTCTCCACCCACGAATTCAGGTTGGTGCTCCATACATATCATATATATACATATATATATATATATATATATATATATATATATATATATATATATATATATGGTCAGGTAAAGGAAAACCGTAAAAAAATGAAAATTAAAAAACGTCCTATTAATCTTTTATCTTGATGGTATGTACATGTGTATATAAGTAATTTGTTCGGTATATGCATATGTGCATAAAAATCAAGAAAAAACTTCAATTACTTGTATTGTACATACAATTGAAATGAATGATTATCAGAGTCTTTCTCAATTTTTTATTTTTCTTCCTGAACCTATTTATATACATATATATAATGAGGTTGATTTAGCCAGGGACGGACTCAATTTTTTTTTCAAATGGTGGCACAATTTGACAATAAGAAAAAAAATATAGGAATTTTTTTTTTTCAAACGGTGACACCGTTTGACTATAAGAAACAAATATATGGAATTTTTTTTCAAACGGTGGCACCGTTTGACTAAGAAAATGACATTAATATGATTCGGACTTGGGTGTGGGGTGTAATAAAAGCCTTGCGAACCAACTCTACCAAATAAAACTTGTTTTCATTGTAGTTTCAAAATACATACGGTGACACACAACAAATTAATACGGTTGCACCGTTCACGAAACCTAAATTTTTTACCCTTCGGCCGAGAAACAATACGGTGGCACGTGCCACCCATGGCACTTAACTAGGTCCGTCTATTGATTTAGGAACCTTAAAGCTTTTAGTAACTTATGAATCATCTTTTTTTTTTTGAATATTCATGATGAATAAGGTGTCATGATAACGTTGTGATATATATGTACATAAAAGAGGTTCGTTGTTTGAGTTTTTAAAATATTTAAGGTTCTTAAATGAATCTGTATCTGTATATATATATATCTCATCAAAAGGGGATGAATCTTTGTATGTGTAAACAGCCAATTTCTCCAACTTCTTGTTCTTGAAAGATTGTAAGAAATGGTAATGATGGTAAGTTAGAAAGCTAAAGTTCACATATGAAACAATGGGTATCCATAAATCATGAAAAAAAGATGAAGATTTGCATGTTTTTTGATTGTGAGAAATGGCAATGATGATAACTCAGAAAGCTCAAATCCGCTTTTCAAGATAATGGGTACCCATAAATGATTGAACAAGAGAAAAGACAGCACAATCCAATGCTTGTTATTTATCACTAATATTCCTTCTTCAATCAATTCAAGGGTCTGTATGGATTCAGCTTTAACATATCCACTGCACCACTAAGCATAAATTCTCTCTCTCTATTGAAATGTGGTAAGCTTACTACAACCCTTAATTTCATTGTGCTCTGTGTATTTCTGCATATGATTCTCTATCTCATTAAGCTTTCTTGCTTTTTTGTCTTATTGTTTCATCTTTCTTTCTTTTCATATATCTTAATGGATTTTAGGCACAGTGAGCAGATGGTTCAGACACATGGAGGAGACATTTAGTGTCTGAATCTTCACACATGTTTGATTCTCAGTTTTGTCTATAAATTAAGACTTCACCACCAAGAGTGTTTCAGACCAACTTCCTTTAAGATGAGTTATACAACTGCTTCCATTGGTTCTGGTTAGTTCAAGATCTTTATTCATTTTGATATGTAGTTGCGTAATTGGATTGTGTTTGATGGTTCGTATGTGGGTTTCGCGTTTCTTGGATTGGTTCGGACTTTGGTAACGGTTTTTGTATGAATTGCAGGTAGTAGAACGGCTAGGAGAACGGTCGAGTTTGGTCGGACGTATGTGGTGAGGCCAAAAGGGAAGCATCAAGCAACTGTGGTTTGGTTGCACGGTCTTGGTGATAACGGCTCGAGGTAGATTAATGAGTTCTTGCTTTGTGTCCTTAAAACGACGGTGTTTAAATAAACCGTTGGACCGTTCAAACCGGACCGTTGTCGGTCTGAAAAAAATAGCCAAACCACTCGATCTCGTGTAGTTTGCGTTTTTAACGTGTGTTTTTTGAAAAATATACATGTATTAATTATATTCGGTTTTCATGTTGTAGGTTTAATTTTTATGATATGTAAGAATATGATATAAGCTTATTTAGGGACAAGGGCCACTAGCTCAAGAGTATGATTCATTTAACAATGCCAAAATAGCTTTCGTTTGATACCATGTAAGAATATGTAGAACCCAGTAACCTCATTGAATGAGTATACTTTCTCATTTGGTTTCGTGTTTATTGATGCAGTTGGTCTCAACTACTGGACAACCTTCCCCTGCCAAATGTGAGAACCTCACTTTCCCTTAGAAAAACTTTCTTCTATTGCTTATTTTTTTGTGTTTTCCCTCTCGTGTATGTAAGAATGTGGGACCCATCAGATTACTTTCTAAAAAAGTCATTGAGGAGAGAAGTGGGGATGGGAGTTTTCAAGATATATTGAAGAGAAAATATCTAAATCTAGACGATGTGAGACTCTAATTCGTTCCCTCTTACAAAGGTTAGACGGGTAAAGATGTCCCAGAGTGGTAGATCTGCTCTGATACCATGTGAGAATTACGAAACCTCATCAAATTTATTCTCCAAAAGAGCCGTTCAAGAGAGAAGAGGGTAACTACATATGGGATTCTAACAAAGCCTCTCTAACGGAGGCTAGACGAGCAAAAATGTTTCAAATGGTAGATTTTGGCTCTAATACCATGTGAGAATATGTGAAACCACATACAAATTACTCTCTAAAAGAGCAATTGACGAGAGTAGGCTTCCAACATATATTAAAGATAAAGTGTCAAAGTCTAGCTGATGTGAGACTCTAACAGTGTAAATTTTACGCTTTGCAGATTAAATGGATATGCCCAACCGCTCCTACTCGCCCCGTGACTGTGCTTGGTGGATTTCCTTGCACTGCATGTAAGATATCGACATTGAAACCATACAACGTTCATATGATTTTAAATATGCGTTCATATGATATTTGGTGACATTTTTCGGTCCGTAAATAGGGTTTGATGAAGGAGAGCTCTCAGAAGACGGTCCAAATGATGTCAAAGGTTTAGATGCTTCGGTATCGCACATAGCAAACTTGTTATCTACAGAGCCTTCTGATGGTAAAGTTTCTCCCTTTTTTGTTTCATCGATATAGATCACATATTTAATGAATACTCTTTTCGGTTCATTTTTTTAACAAGTTTAAAGCTTTCTTGATAAAATTATGTGTAATTGTTGTTTTTTCTCACATTTTCTTCAATCTTTATGCAACTAAAGTTCGGTTTATTGATCTGAGCTCCTTGTAACATGTTGTTTGATAGGTTAATTTCTAACAAAGTCAATGTATTTGTAGCACGAAATCACGATAATCACAAAATAACCAAAATTGGAGTTGACCCGTTACAAAATGACCAACTTTTTCCAAACTAGCACATAATGCCTACATATTTCACAAAACAACAATGCCTTTTTCAATTTTTTTGTGGGCCCGTTTTCAAAAGGGTGAGAAATACCTCTTTTTTGTGAAATGGGCCTACAAATCGAATAAAATATGCAAAAAGTACATTTCACAAAAAGGGGGTTTTATCGTGGTTTTAACGAAGTAGGTGGGTATTCTGTACTAATTTGGAAAAAATGATCATTTTTGTGACGGGTCAACTCCAATTTTGGTTATTTCTGTGATTATCCGTCGTTGTATGTAACGTAACTTCGTTAACAATCAAAATTTCACTATCTTTTTAACAGTTGCACTTGGTATTGGGGGATTTAGTATGGGTGCTGCATGTGCTCTTTACTCTGCAACTTGTTTCGCTCAGGGAAGATTTGGAAACGGTAGCCCTTTTCCGGTTAACTTGAAGGCTATCGTCGGATTGAGCGGCTGGCTTCCGGGTGCAAGGTATAATCACTGAAATGTCATTCCGCATGTTCCTTTTTCGTTGTAATTCCTATCCAAAATTACCATTTTACCCACGAGGGACCGTCACAACAAAACATAGATAATATTGATTTTGATCCACGAGATTTCCCCTTTCGTGTATTTTGAAGATTTGAATAATAAACAAACGTTTCCAATAAACTATATTTGTATCTTTACTTGTAAAACTTAATGTGATGGAGGTAGATGAGGTTGAGGCCATGTTTGTCGACCATAAGATAGCTTATTTTTTTAAGCTTGTTGAAAAAACCTTATTTGGTTTGCCATAAACTAGTTTTTTGAAAAACTGCTTCAAGTAGCATTTCAATAAGCTCAAAGCGTTTTTTACCCACTTCTTTCAATTATTTCCCTTATATTTCTTCAATTATTTTCCAACATGTCATTTTAAGTCATTTTACATTGTCCTCTAGCTTATCAACTAGTTTTTACAAAAGATGACTAGTTAGCTTTTTAGACAACAACCAACTTTTCTGCCAACAATTAATTTCTCAGCTAGTTTGTCAATGATAGCCAAAATATCAAGATTCATTGGATGTTGTTCAGGAATTTGAGAAATATGGTAGCAGGATCACAAGACGGTGCTAGGCGTGCTGCCTCATTGCCCATTTTGCTATGTCATGGACTATGTATGTATTTCAAACTTGATCATCATGCATAACTACATCATTCCACATAGTTGTTGAATTCCCCATTTCTTGTCAGATTATTTTTTGGAAAGTAATCTGACGGGGTTTTACATATTATAACATGGTATTAAAACCAAAGTCTACCATCTGGGATATCTTTGCCCATCTAGACTCTATTGGAAAGGGACGTGTTATAGTCTTACATCGACTAGACTTAAAACTCTTTCTCCTCAGTATATGATGAAACTTCCGTTCTCTCCTCAAGATCTCTTTTAAACAGTAATTTAACGGGATTTCACATATTCAATATAGTAATGTACTAGAAAGAATCATAAAAGGAACTTTGAATACCTTTTACAGGTGACGAAGTTGTCCCATACAAATTCGGAGAGAGGTCCTCTCAGATCTTGAGCTCGGCTGGATTCAGATACGTTGCATTTAAAACATACGAAGGGTATTGAACAAAGTTATTCCATTTACCTTCGAACTTTTAAAAAAACATACCTTTTAATCATTTTTGGGTCTGATTTTGTAGCATCGGACACTACACGGTCCCTAAAGAAATGGAAGAGGTATGTCAATGGCTAAATGCAAGGCTTGGAGCCTGAGTGATTGCCATGGATGACATTAATGGTTTATTGCACGTAGTTCAATGAACAGTCGGGTGAACGGTAGTCAAAGGAAAGATGGTCATTTTGTGGTTTTGGGATAAATCAGTAGGAATTGATGGGGGGTATGAATGGTATTGTAATTGAGCTTCTTGATGTAAAATAATGATTTTGGAAGAGTTTGTTTTTCTGATTGCGTTTGTAGATGAGAATTTGTTGTAATGAATCTTGAAGTTTTTGGGGGTTCATTGATGTTTTTGGCACAATGAATACAACCCAAAAATGTTTTAATTTAGAGATGATTTTATGATTCTTTATCGGGAAATAACTTCTTTATCGTTGGGAGTAGTAAGAGGTACAAATAAGAAGCATAGATATCACCAAAGGGTCTTTGGCTTAACGGTATCGTAGTCTTTGCCTTCTTAGAAGGTCAGAGGTTCAAACCTCACCAAAAGTGAGAGGGTGTGTGAGTTTATTTGTTGCATTTGTTGTATATAACTATTATATACTTTAAAAAAAGAAGCATAAATATCGTAAAATATAATAAGAGAAATTTCATATGTGAATCACTGAAAAATTTCATTTGAATATAGATTGAAAATTTTCATTTTAATACTTAATATATTAAATGATTATAAAAATATGATGTTTACATAAAATGATTTGAGGGCAAATGATCATGTGAGAATGAGAATTAAGATGAGAAACGAAAGAATTGATCTGAACTCTTGATTATCTTTAATCTCAAATCCACATATGAATCGTGTTTGATATGTGAATTGATCTGATACATCTCATTCTAAATGTCGTAGGCGGACCTAGTTAAGTGCCATGAGTGGCACGTGTCACCGTATCGTTTCTCCGCCGAAGGGAATTTTTTTTTTAGGTTTCGTGAATGGTGCAACCATATTAATTTATTGTGTGCCACCGTATGTATTTTGAAACTATAATGAGAACAAGTTTTATTTGGTAAAGTTGGTTTGCAAGACTTTTATTCCACCCCACACCCAAGTCTGAATCATGTTAGTGTCATTTTCTTAGTCAAACGGTGACAAATTCCATATATTTGTTTTTTTTATAGTCAAACGGTGATTTCCTATATTTTTTTCTTATGGTCAAATGGTGCCACCATTTAAAAAAAATTATGAAAAAAAATTATGAATCCATCCCTACTAAATGCGCATTCAAAGGTGGAGAAACTTCTCACCTTAACTTTTCTTGTCGAAACCCAACTCATGATTTGTATGAAGGATTAAATTGTAAGAACAATTTATAAGGGAAATTTATGTGTATTAAATATTAGTGAAGGGACTATTTATGTAAATAATTCTTTCTAAATAAACCATTAGTTTGGTGACGTCAGCAATTTTGAGAATTAGGGTTTAAGAGCAGAGCACCATTACTTTGGTGGAGTACCATCGTCGTCGTCGTCAACCTCTCGACGTCTCACCATGAATTACAGGTTTCAAAACCTTCTCGGAGCTCCGTACAGAGGTGGAAACGCCGTCGTTGTCAACAATACACTTCTTATATCACCGGTCGGCAACCGTATCTCTGTCACAGACCTTGTCAAATCAGAAACCATAACTCTCCCATTTCAATCCTCCTCAAATATTTCCAGAATCGCCGCATCTCCTGACGGCGTATTCCTCCTCGCCATTGATGACAACTCCCGCTGCCTCTTTGTCAACCTTCGCCGCCGTGCTGTACTTCATCGCATCACCTTTAAGAAGCCTGTGGCATGCGCGAAATTCAGCCCTGATGGTTCGCTCATTGCTGTGGCTGCCGGGAAATTGGTTCAGATATGGAGGTCGCCGGGGTTCAAGAAGGAGTTTTTCCCGTTCGAGCTTATTAAAACTTTCGCTAACTGTAATGATAAAGTTACTACACTTGATTGGAGTCCTGATTCAGATTATTTGCTGGCTGGTTCGAAGGATTTGACGGTTAGGCTTTTTTGTTTGAAGAAATTAAGTGGTTTGCATAAACCTTTTATGTTTTTAGGTCATAGAGATATAATTGTTGGTGCATTTTTTGGTGTTGAGAAGAAAACGAATCAAGTTTCTAGGGTTTACACTATATCACGTGATGGGGCAATTTTCAGCTTTAATCATAACGGGAAAGATGAAAAACTTGATGAACCTCCTTCGCCTGGCACTCCTGAGCAAAGTATGGAAGGGGATGAAATCAGTAATGTGAAGAAAAGAAAGACTTTGGAGGCTGATTTTGATGAAGAAAGTTCGTCTTTGTTGCATAAAGGAAAGTGGGAGTTGGTTAAGAAGGACTTCTTTATGCAAGCCCCTGCAAGGTTAACAGCCTGCGATTATCACAGAGGCTTGGAGATTGTGGTGGTTGGGTTTTCAAATGGTGTTTTTGGGCTCTATCAGATGCCTGATTTTGTGTGCATACACTTGTTGTCTATATCTAGAGAGAAGATCACGACTGCTACTTTTAATGAACTTGGAAATTGGTTAACATTTGGGTGTGCAAGACTTGGACAATTACTTGTTTGGGAGTGGAAGTCTGAGAGTTACATATTGAAGCAACAGGGACATTACTTTGATGTCAATACTGTTGCATATTCACCTGATTCACAGCTCTTAGCTACTGGTGCAGATGATAATAAAATCAAGGTAAGTTATTTTTGGTGGGAATTCAAGTTTCTTTTAGATTAGAAGATGTTATGGACATGAAATTGTGAAGATACATATATATTCATACACACATACGTACAGATATATACATACATATATACACATGTATATAATTCATGATGATTGATGAATGTGAGTATTCATGATGGTCATGTATATTAGTGATATCCATTATGCAAATCTGGTTCTTATGGTTCTCAAAATGTTCATTATGAGTTCATGGTCTTCATTATGAATATTTGGTGGTTACGGTTCTTGAAATATTTATGGTTTGCAAATGAATCTCGGCTGTATTTATGTGTGTTTATCTTTTTATATAGAATGGATAGTCACATCTGAATAAAGTTGTTCTGCATGTTTTATAATTCTGATATTGTCTGATACTCAAAAGACAGCTCTTTTTCCGGGAGACACCAAGTTTGCTGTCGTAACCTATGCATGTCCCATTTTCATATTCATATGGTTATGACATATGATTTTACTTATAAAATAATTAGGAAAGAGGAAAATGCGCGTTAACTATGGCTTTATGATTTCCTGATAGACATTCTCTTGTTTTATCACCTTAATGACATACTTATTCTTCTTCTGTATCTAGTTTTGGTCATTCTTTATGTTGTTTTAGACTTTAGTCTGTGCTAACTCCACGTCATCATTTAGGTAACCCAAATTCTGTAATTTGCTTGCTTGTTACAGGTTTGGACAGTTTCATCAGGCTTCTGTTTTGTGACTTTCTCTGAGCATACAAACGCAGTTACTGCACTCCATTTCATGGCTAGCAACCACTGCTTGCTGAGTGCATCCCTAGATGGCACTGTTCGTGCATGGGATCTGTTCCGTTATCGCAATTTTAGGACATTCACCACCCCATCTTCTAGACAGTTTGTTTCCTTAGCGTCAGATCAAAGTGGCGAAGTGATTTGTGCTGGAACCCTTGATTCATTTGAGGTATCGAATGTTCAACGTGGTTTTAACAATATTTAACTATGTTTTGTCTAGAAAACTGAGACAACATTTTCTGGTCTCTGCTAGATCTTTGTTTGGTCTATGAAGACGGGCCGATTGTTGGATGTCCTTAGTGGTCATGAAGGTCCAGTTCATGGATTGATGTTTTCTCCTACAGGCGTAAGTAATTGCTGCTTGCTTGTAGTTTCTAATAGCATCTCTAACAGGTTCTTTAAAACGGAGAAAATGGCGATTTGAAAAGTGCATATACCATTTCTATCTCTGCTTGTCTCAAATAATCGTGTTCTTCTTTTTCAAAACTACAGGCAGTTCTGGCTTCATCTTCATGGGACAGATCCGTTCGCTTGTGGGATGTTTTTGATGGAAAAGGTTCGGTTGAAACATTTCCTCATACTCACGACGTTCTTACAGTTGTTTATCGTCCAGATGGTAAGCAATTGGCTTGCAGCACATTGGATGGGCAAATTCACTTCTGGGATCCCATTGATGGCCTGTTAATGTACACTATTGAGGGGCGTCGAGATATTGCTGGAGGTCGCTTGATGACTGATCGTAGATCAGCAGCCAACTCTACTTCGGGAAAGTGCTTCACAACATTGTGTTATTCTGCCGATGGGAATTACATATTAGCTGGAGGAAGTAGTAAATACATCTGTATGTATGATGTTGCTGATCAGGTTAGTTTCATCTTGTCTTTCTTGAAAGATTATACAAGAGCTTTGCGTATTTTATAATATTGGACATTCTTCAAAATTTTCTTTTTTACCTTCGAAATTACCTATTATTCACCACTTATGTCTTGCCGAATATGAGGTTTGAGTTATAAGACATTTTTTTAATGATACGAGCTTAAAACCTTTTACCATTCTCTTATTAGCCTTTAATTCTTCTCTTTTTTATTTATAATTTTAATGAGAAACTAGATTTACATCATTTTAATTTTGTTTTCAGAATTTTAATAAATATGCAACAAAAAAGAAAAAGGTAAATAAGCATTGGTGTATAAATTTTTACCAAATATAAAAAATTAGAATTTATTATAGGAACATCTTTAACATTAGGAAAGTAATATTATTTTTATCGAAGATTTCATAATAATTATTTTACATATTTACGAGTAAAAAAGTAGATTTTTTAATATATATATTAAACATTATAATATTTAGAGGGGTAAAATAAACAATTACACACATTCAGACATTTATTGTCTTATCAATAAGAAGTGAAAAAAAGACTTCAAAGTAAACTCCTCTCAAAAAGCAAACAACACCTACGCTGTTTGGTTGGTTTTCCACCGAGTCATGTATGGATAAGCCGTCTGTGCGGATTAATCTGTTTGTATGGATTGAGAAGTTTTCGTTTGGTAGTGTTTTTTCATAGATGGAAGGAGCGTGTTTTTTTATTTGAGAGGGGCAGGTTTGGATATTTTTTTTTTGGCTTTCTGCATAAAGCCCCCCCTAGAAGCTTACTGAATAAGATACTTTCTATATTATTAAGCCACTACCAAACAATCATATATAGATGACGGAATAAGTTGTGAGTTCCATTAATATCTTAAGCTGCTAAGGAGCATGTCCTAAGTGTAGCATCTCATATATCCTGCTAATCCACTCTAGGCCCCTCATCTCTTCTCTTCCAATTATATGTTCAAACAAGCTACTATGTTGCATAACAAGCTATTTCATTTCCACTTATTATTAGTAAAATGTTTTATGAACTCGGTTCCCTAAAAAGATCTTTCCACAATAAGAGTTAAGACATGTGGTTTTCGTTGAATCTACAGGTATTGCTCCGGAGATTCCAAATAACCCTCAATCTATCTTTGGATGGAGTTCTTGATGTATTGAATTCGAAGAACATGACTGATGCTGGTCCTCTGAATCTAATCGATGATGATAACAGCGATATAGAAGACGGTGTTGATAAACAAACACGAGTTAAGTCGAGTTATGATCTGCCAGGATCAATGCCTAATCGTGGAAGACCTATCGTTCGAACAAAGTGCCTAAGAATCGCGCCCACAGGTCGTAGCTGGGCAGCTGCAACAACCGAAGGGGTTTTAATTTACTCGATGGATGATAATTTTATATTTGATCCCACAGATCTTGACATAGATGTCACACCAGAGGTATGAAAGTTTCTTTATCGTATCAATTGGCACCCGAGACATTGTTTCACTAAGAACGCAAACTAAAAACAAAGTATTTAAACCAACGAAGTATATTGTAGGGCAAAATGCAACAAAGTTCGGTTTAGTTCCTATTTAGTGCATGTGTGTAATGATTTTTTTTTTCCTTCTCCGTCGTTACAACATGGTTCCAAAATTTTCTATTTTGTACCCATTTTGGTCACCATACTGCTGATCTTGTAACATTAAATGACGTGGATACCTGATTACCAAAAGTTTATGGCGAAATGGACGACAAACTTGACATCCACATTCCATGTCATCAAATGTTGGTACTCTAAATAGGAACCAAGACAAATTTCGTTGCATTTTGCCTTGTATTGTAACCAAACCCCAGTAAAGAAGAACATGGTGTTGCTTATTTGATGGTGATAACTAAATGTGGCTGTGTCCATTGACTAATAATACTTTGACCATCTTTTGACACATAGGCAGTTGAAGCGGCCATTGGTGAAGATCAGCCAAGCAGAGCTTTAATCCTTAGTTTACGTTTAAATGAAGATGCTTTAATTAAGCGATGCATCATTTCTGTTGCACCTGCAGAGATAAGAGCTGTTGTTGCATCGATCCCCTTCAAATATTTAAATAGATTGATTCAGGCTTTTGCGGAGCTTCTGGAAAATTGCCCTCATTTGGAATTTGTTCTTCGATGGTGTCAGGTATCAATATACATATTCTTTTTGAGCTTATTGAGAAAGTCCTATTTAGTTAGCTTTTAAAACGTCATTTCAAGTAGCGTTTCAATAAGTTTTAGGGGCTTTTTTCCACTTTTCTTTCCTGCCCTATTATGCCTTTTCATATTCTTCCATTAAATTGTTCTACATGTTCTTTTACGTCATTTTACAGTGTCATCTACCTTGTCAGCTAGTTTTTATCAAACTTAGTTTATCAGCTACTTTTTTGTCAAGTCTAGTTTATCAGTTTTTATCGAACTTGGTTTATCGGCTAGTTTTTATCAAACGTGAATGGTTTGTCGGCTAGTTTTTACCAAATTTTATTATCTGATTTTTACCAAATATGACTAGTTTATCGGCTGGTTTTATCAAACATGACTAGTTTATAAGCTATCAACTAGTTTGCCAAATGTGACCATCTTTCACGGATTAGCAGGATTTAAGATGATCCGCTTAGGCTATGTTTGGCAAACATAAGCTACCTTATTTTTTGAGTTCATCAACAAATCCCGTTTTTGAGCTAGCTTTTTAGTGGCATTTCAATAAGTTCTGGGGATCCCCCCATTTTTCTTTTTCCAATTGTACCCCTTATATCTTTTAATTGATTTTTCAACAAGTTCGTTTAGGTCAATTTACATGTCATTCAGTTAGTTTTTACGAAACATGTGTAGTTTATCAACTAGTTTGTCAAACATAGCCCTAGTGTGTTCTCTTGGTAAGCTACAAAAATGTAATTGATTCTGATTTTGATTTTGTAGGAGCTGTCTAAATGTCATGGTCACTCGATTCAGCAAAACTCGAGAAATTTACTTCCTTCTCTCAAGTCGTTACAGAAGGCGATTACGAGGTTACATCAAGATTTAGGTGATACGTGTGCCTCGAATGAGTACTTGCTTCGATACCTATGCTCCACAAGCTCCAAGCCATGAATACACACAATTATAGTTGTTGAAGGAAGAGTTGGAATTTTGTAATGGCAATTTTGTAACAAATGTGCTTACGGATACCCTTTTTGTTATTTTTTTGCTTATAAAATGCACTTCTTGAATGGGTTTTCATCGGCTTCAAAAGTCGTTTAAACTTGCCTGAATTCGAGAACTTTATCTGAGGTGATCATTTGTGGGTATGGATCGATCAGATCCAATCTATGTCCAACTGCTTGCTATTACAAACTCAAGCTCTTTTTTGTAAGCTTTGATAAGTTGTTAGGCCGTACCTGTCTAATATATGGGTCGGGTTTTGCCCATGGTCTTACGGGTCCAAAAATAAATATAGGAATACATGCTTGAATATAAAACTAAGATCTAGGGGTGTTTGTTTATCTCTTAATAGTTCTATCAAGATGCAATTTCTGAATCGTTAAGAGGTGAATCTTGCTTGGCAAAAAACACAGTTTCTTTTAGTGGTTTTATAAACCCTCCGAATGATTTTGTATCTCGGGCCTTCCTGAACCATAAAAAAATAATTGACTATAAAAATATAAACTGGTTTGGCGGGTTTATCTTGATTCTTCTGGGTCGTTCATGCCTGTTAAATTGTGAATGTTTGTCCAATAGGTTGTGTTGTTCGTAAATGACTACACCTCTGAATAGACATGGCAAAAAATTACTCCAAGTTCCAACCATAAATCATTAAATCCTAGAACCTATCTATGCCTGGTTACCAGTCCCGTCCTGGTCCTATTGAGCCATCCCAAATCTGGTCTCGAGCCCAACTAGGTTTTGGAATTTTTTTACACAAGAACATTATATATGGTTTTTAAATGGCAATTCTTGGAATCTAGTGCTAAAAGAAACTTTGAGAAATAACTTGTATTATAATTTATAAAAACTTTTTGTGAAAATAATTTAAAAACTTGGGATTTGTTTTTTGAAAAATCAAGCCTAGTTGAAGAGAGCTCTAATAGGCCTTGGAGGATCGAACCCACGTATGTGGCAATTCTTCCTGCTAAAGTACTCAACTAGAAGTTCATGGAGGCTCAACTAGGATTACATGACAGATCCTTGTCCGTATTTGTAACAGTTTTTAAACCGTTGGACATAACCTGTCCAAATCCAAATAAGGTATAGTGGTTGCGTTTTGTTTGGTTTAGATAATAGTATAAAGAGGAAATTATGATTTTCGTCCCTATAGTTTGTTAATAATTCCAATTTTTGTCCTTATGGTTTAGAAGTTGTTATTTTTGTCCCTATGGTTTGTAAATTATTGCTATTTTCGTTTTTAGACTAATTTCTACCTATTAAGTACAAGAGACAAAAATAGTAACGAATTGTAAACCATAAGAACCCAAAAAATAATAAGTTGTAAATCAAATGAATAAAAATAGCAATGAGTTACAAATCATAAGGATGAAAACTATAATTTCTAAATTATAGGGATGAAAAACGTAATTTACTCTAATATAAATTGATCAAAGTTGGTCTGTAAGTTGTAACAGCAGAGATTCAGGGGTTGTTTGTTTACCTCTTAAAAGTTTCATTAAGAGGCAACATCTGAACTGTTAAGAGTTGAATATTGTTTGACAAAAAAAAAGTCTGCCTTTTAATGGTTCTAAAACCCTCTGAATGATTTTGTATCATGAATCTTTCTTAATTATTAAGAGCCCTAATTTCATTGTACACAATTACCAAACAATTATATTTCATGTACTATATCATGAGAGCCTCTTAATCATTCTGACCACTTAATTATGCTGCACCAAATCATTCATCAATTGCCAAACAACCCCTCAAATGCGGTGACTCCGGGCTATCTGCAAAACAGGTGGTCGTCCTGAAATTAGTCGGCTCGTATAACGGGTTGAATATCCAGGTTAATAAAAAAAAGTTGTAACCACCGGCCCACTAAAGTCCCTTTGTGTTTGGCCCAAATACGTTTATGAACCGGCCCACACTAAAACACAAAATTATGAACCGGCCCATACATTAAACCCCAATTATGAACCGGCCCACACATTAAACCCCCGAAGCCAAAACCCTTCCGCTTGATTGTTTTCTTACTTGCAGAAGGAGTTCTAGGGTTATTCTCTGTTTCTAGTCATGGCGAAAGAGAGAGTTAAACCTCTGATGTCATCCTTCACTTCAAAAGCTGAAGTATTTGCTGCTCTACTCCCCAATGGAGTCTTGAAAGTAACTTCTCTCTCTATTTTCCTCCCGCTATACAGCTTTTTCAACTATTTTTGTACGAACTAAACTTGTTTGATATCGAATTGGGGGATTTGGTTATCGTTTTTTATGTGAAATCTACTTCGAATTGAAGAACATGATATTCTATTTGTATGTATATTGGGAATAACTAAGATTGTTATCAAGTGATAAGCACTTGGTAATCCATCCAGTGAAACTGAATTTAGAAGTAATTTGTTCATGGCATTTTAGTTCTAGAATCCTGGACACTCTTGGAGATGCAAATAGAACCTGTTTGACATTGAAAGTCGAAGTGTGTATTTTTCTGGAATGAGGAGGTTCCTCTTGTGCAATCCCAAAATGCTTGTCTCTTCGGGTATGATAGGTTTGCCACCATTGGCACCCATGAAGGTCTCTTTGGGCCTGTTTCTTAGCAGCTAATGAGTTTAACGGACTCACAACTTATTCGGTTCGCTATACATGACATTTTGGCAGTGACTTAGTGATACATAAAGTGGCTTATTTACTAAAATTTTGGGGGAGGTTTATGCAGAAAGCCAAGCTTTTTCGAAACCTATCCCTCGCAATTAAAAAACCTTCCCGGTACATATCCATACAGTACTTATGAAAAACCAACCACACAGCACCTTAGGTTAGTTGCCATGTGGATTATATGCAAAATGAATATCTATCAGGAAACTTTATATATGTACAAATCATGGACCTTGAAAAGTAATGGTATTTACTTAAGGGTCAGTGGTATCTGGGTTACTGGTAGATCCCGGCCTCCTGGGAGGTCGAGGGTTCAAATTTGACCAACGTTAGGGAATGTGTATTTTTCGTATATAAATTTAATATACTTTAAAAAAAGAAATGATATGGTGAGCATGGGTAGTTTCAGTAATGGTCTAGGGGGTTCTCGTGCCCCCGTTCTATCCATCCCAACGCAATGGAATTTTGTTAAGTGTCTTAAAGGTGCACACACTTTATTAGTGCTTCCCTAGGTTAACAAAAAAAGTGGTTGCAATCTACTTGTAGTGTCATTGCATGTGGCATCTCTGGTTGCAAGTTCGAATCCCTTTGACTTCTTTTTAACTTTTTGGTAACAACAACATAGAAGAAGAATAAACCACTTGGGTGTCATTTTTAATTAAACCATACTGTTTATGATACATTTTTTTTTATCTCATATTATGTTAAATATTTTGCGTCCCACTCGAAAATTTTCTAGATCTGCTTATGAAGTGAGTTTATGTTGATGTTGGTTGTGTACTAAGAAACCGCTTTTCATGATTGAAGGTTTGGAACACGAGTGATGGAAATCTATTAGCCGAATGGAAGCAACCCGATGGAGAGTCTGATGCTCATTTTTCTTGTATTGCATGTAGCTTTGTTGGAAAAAAGGTAACACAATACGTAAAAAGTTTCTGTCTTCTCACTCTATTTTTTTTGAAAGTAAGCCAATGCCTTGAACGGTTTCATCTTTAACTGTTAAAATTATTGGTTTTTCTCTTAATTTTCAGCGCAGAAAAGAAAAGGGTACCTGTTTGGTGGCACTGGGAACAGATGATGGTGAGGTTTTCACTATCAATGCTACTGCGGCTGAAATGAAGTGGAAATCTTCTGGACATCATCATGGGTATGCTAGTAATGTTTTGGTTTGCTATTTGCGTTATAGAATATTAGTTGTGTACCTGTGCAATGGAAGAGGATGCAAGATTTTATTATAAATGGAGAGTAGGAAATTAATGCAATTTATAGTTAAAAAATATGGAGACCAGATAACAAAAAAGCCTAAAAGTTATACCAGTATTGGTGTCAAATTGGTCAGACCCTAAAATGATGATAAAAGTTGGTTTCTCAAAATAAGAATTAGGTGAAAGTTAGTTCCATTTTGGTGCAATTTTCCCAATTAGAGATTGTGAAAATTTTGCTTTTTTGGTATATTTTGTTTGATTAAATTTTTTATTATCATTTTGATTTAGAAATAAAATGTAATTTATTTTAATTTTAAGGATGAAGTATTTTTGTGTGTGGATAAAGATAAAGATGTAGTATTTTCTGTGGATAAAGATTAAGATGGAGTATTTTATTGTATTAATATGGCTCAATGATTGTTATGTATTTGAGCGTGTTTATCAATTGGTTATTAGTTAGTTTTATAGAGTTCATCGAGCTTAAAAGTCGTACGTATTAGTATGGCTCAATAATTTCTTGTGAATGCTCACAATTTGGAGATGCACAAGGCCCTGACTTTGTCGGGCCTGGGCTGGGGTCTTTCAAGAGCTTGTTTTAGGCCCACGCCTCACTCGTCAATGATACATATTCTGATGAGCAATAGCTGAATTTTGAGCTTTTTTATATGTGCAGAAGAATTGCTGCTCTCTCTTTTGCAAATAAAGGACGTAAACTTTGTGTTATTAGTACTGATGGCGCAACCTGTGAAATGAACTCCGAAAGTGGAGAACTTTTAAAAGAAACAAAAATTTCGAAGAAATATATATCTTCGGCTGTATATTTTTCTGGTGAGTGCTCAGAACATCTTGGTGTCGTTAATCACCTTAACCTTTTATTCGATTCTTTGACGCCTGTTTTCTTGTATGGTAGACGATAAAATATTAGCTGCGGCAAATACCAAGATAAGAGTCCTCAGTTTAGAAGATGGGAAAGAACTACTGAAGTTTTCTACAGATGAAGTATGTTACTAGACACTCCCCCCTTCCCAAAAATAAACGTCTACAATGAAAAAGGCACCGTCTTAGAAATGTGTAATCATTACACTTTTTAATTAACTAAATGACATATTTACCCTTAATGACAGAGAGTGTAATGAATTTTCCATCTCATGTTTAAGGGTATACTTGGAAAGTGGGCATTTGCTAGCACTTATTTTAGCACAAACTCAAGTAGAAATACGGACGCTTATTTTGAGATGGAGGGAGCATTGTCTACTCTCTTTGTCCCAAAATAAATGTCCACAGTGAAAAAGACACAATTTTAGAGATGTGTAATAGTTACACTTTTAATTAACTAAATGACAATATTACCCTTTAAAAGTAAACGGTATAATGGGAAAGTAGACACTTACTTTCGAAACCGTACAATTAATTTGGGACGTTCCATCCCCTACCTGTCTATAGTTTAACCACGATGCCAACAAAATTGCATTTTTGCTCCATTCTTCAGGGTCCAGTGCGGCATATATCTATGTTGGAGGATACAAACCTCATTATTACATCAGGATTTGACGACAAGAATCTTCAAGTGTGGAAAAATGAAGCAAACACCGAAATAGTAACCAGTGGACCTATTCTATCAATGAGACATCCTTCTTTAGCTATTGAGTGCAAGAGCGGCTGCAATGGAGAGGATTTAGCTGTACTCTCGGTTTCAGAAAACGGTGTAGCTTATATCTGGAACATGAAGAACTCATCTGAAGGAAATATAGTTCCAGCTAAGATAAAAGTTGAAGCTGGTGAATCTGAAACCGACCCAAATGTTAGCGGAAAAAAGAAACGCCATACTTCTATATTAGCTGCTAGATTGAGTTCTGTGGATAGTGATGACCGAGTAACGGGCGTTATTGTTTATGGCTCTATAAACTCTCCACAGTTCACTTCGGTGGATGTTACTAGCCCCGGGGAGGATATCGTCATCGATGCTAGAGCTGATGTTCGAGAAAATGGAGTTAACGATGGAAAAGGTGCACAACTTATTGTTCTAAATGTTTTGTCGATTCATTCTTTTAAAGCTCTTTGTGATTTCTAAAGCCTTGGACTTTTGTCAATCTGCTTTGGAACTTCATGCGCGACACTCGCTACAACAAAATTGGTTTTATAGGATGCAAAATATGTCTAACTGTGCTAATATACAACTTCATAGGACTTAAGTTTATAGAACCCAATGATAGTGCGTGCTCCTTAAAGGTGGCACAATAAGTTGATGGAACGGTTTTGGGTATTTTAACAAGTATACCATAAAAAGATGTGTTCATAGAATAATTCTCAAAAGTGTCATCTAAAAAGCTAATGGTACACTTTTCTTTTACAAAAGTATCCTAAAAAGCTTGTTGGGACGCCCAGAACATTCTATCATGGTAACACCTTTACATTGGATGCACAATAGTTTGGTTCTATAAACTTAAGTCCTATAAAACAGTCTATTAAGACATTTAGGGGCTGTTTGTTTGGCTCTTAATGGTGACATAACCATTAAGAGCCAACCTCTTAATCGGTCAGAGGTGAAGTCTGTTTGGCAAAAAAAAACAGCCCTCTTAATGGTTACATGACCCTCTTAACCATTTTGTGTCTGGAGCTTCAGTCAACCATTCAGACATCATTTGTTCCATCTTTACCCCTCCCACCCCTCTCTTCCAGCGTCGCCTTCACGATCCTTCCAGACTCCAGAGTTCACGTCGCCTTCCACGAGTTCACGT